AATTGGCAGTAAATCGCGGCCAGAGGAGCGGGAGTCGAACTGAATACTGAGTGACGTGGTTGTCACTCCCCCCCCTCTCACCCCCCCCTCACCGCCCCTCCTGCCTCACTCCTCACCCCCCTCACCGCCCCTCCTGCCTCACTCCTCACCCCCCTCACCGCCCCTCCTGCCTCACTCCTCACCCCCTTCACCGCCCCTCCTGCCTCACTCCTCACCCCCCCTCACCGCCCCTCCTGCCTCACTCCTCACCCCCCTCACCGCCCCTCCTGCCTCACTCCTCACCCCCTCACCGCCCCTCCTGCCTCACTCCTCACCCCCTCACCGCCCCTCCTGCCTCACTCCTCACCCCCCTCACCGCCCCTCCTGCCTCACTCCTCACCCCCCTCACCGCCCCTCCTGCCTCACTCCTCACCCCCCTCACCGCCCCTCCTGCCTCACTTCTCAACCCCCTCACCACCCCTCCTGTCTCTCACCTCACCAGATCACGCTGCCCGTCATCTTACCTGTCTCGCCAGAATATGAATCCAGCTGTCTGCGGGAACTGGCATGATTGATTGATGTTCCCGTCTCCTGCCTGTCCTCCCCCGTGTGCTGACAGACACTTCCGTCCCTCCTACTGATCTCACCCGTCTCACTTGAAGCTGTAAACAGTCTGCTCTCTGATCTTAGCCACAAGCTGTTTACCAGGCTGTAGTTACCTTGAGATGGGTGCCGTCTTGTTGATTCTTACTCGTCTCCGGTGTGATATTAGCGGTCTGTGTTTACCATGCTTCAGTGTGAACTGTGATTGGTGCGTGCTTCAGTGTGAACTGTGATTGGTGCGTGCTTCAGTGTGAATTGTGATTGGTGCGTGCTTCAGTGTGAACTGTGATTGGTGCGTGCTTCAGTGTGCACTGTGATTGGTTCAGGCTTCAGTGTGAACTGTGGTTGGTTCAGGCTTCAGTGTGCACTGTGGTTGGTGCGTGCTTCAGTGTGAACTGTGATTGGTGCGTGCTTCAGTGGGCACTGTGGTTGGTGCGTGCTTCAGTGTGAACTGTGATTGGTGCGTGCTTCAGTGTGAACTGTGATTGGTGCGTGCTTCAGTGTGAACTGTGGTTGGTTCAGGCTTCAGTGTGCACTGTGGTTGGTGCGTGCTTCAGTGTGAACTGTGGTTGGTGCGTGCTTCAGTGTGAACTGTGATTGGTGCGTGCTTCAGTGTGCAATGTGATTGGTGCGTGCTTCAGTGTGAACTGTGGTTGGTTCAGGCTTCAGTGTGAACTGTGATTGGTGCGTGCTTCAGTGTGCACTGTGATTGGTGCGTGCTTCAGTGTGAACTGTGATTGGTGCGTGCTTCAGTGTGAACTGTGGTTGGTTCAGGCTTCAGTGTGCACTGTGGTTGGTGCGTGCTTCAGTGTGAACTGTGATTGGTGCGTGCTTCAGTGTGAACTGTGATTGGTGCGTACTTCAGTGTGAACTGTGATTGGTGCGTGCTTCAGTGTGAACTGTGATTGGTGCGTGCTTCAGTGTGAACTGTGATTGGTGCGTGCTTCAGTGTGCAATGTGATTGGTGCGTGCTTCAGTGTGAACTGTGGTTGGTTCAGGCTTCAGTGTGAACTGTGATTGGTGCGTGCTTCAGTGTGCACTGTGATTGGTGCGTGCTTCAGTGTGCACTGTGATTGGTGCGTGCTTCAGTGTGAACTGTGGTTGGTTCAGGCTTCAGTGTGAACTGTGATTGGTGCGTGCTTCAGTGTGAACTGTGGTTGGTTCAGGCTTCAGTGTGAACTGTGATTGGTGCGTGCTTCAGTGTGAACTGTGATTGGTGCGTGCTTCAGTGTGAACTGTGATTGGTACGTGCTTCAGTGTGAACTGTGATTGGTGCGTGCTTCAGTGTGAACTGTGATTGGTGCGTGCTTCAGTGTGAACTGTGATTGGTGCGTACTTCAGTGTGAACTGTGATTGGTGCGTGCTTCAGTGTGAACTGTGATTGGTGCGTGCTTCAGTGTGAACTGTGATTGGTGCGTGCTTCAGTGTGAACTGTGATTGGTGCGTGCTTCAGTGTGAACTGTGATTGGTGCGTGCTTCAGTGTGAACTGTGATTGGTGCGTGCTTCAGTGTGAACTGTGATTGGTGCGTGCTTCAGTGTGAACTGTGATTGGTGCGTGCTTCAGTGTGAACTGTGATTGGTGCGTGCTTCAGTATGCACTGTGATTGGTGCGTGCTTCAGTGTGCACTGTGATTGGTGCGTGCTTCAGTGGGCACTGTGATTGGTGCGTGCTTCAGTGTGTACTGTGATTGGTGCGTGCTTCAGTGTGAACTGTGATTGGTGCGTGCTTCAGTGGGCACTGTGATTGGTGCGTACTTCAGTGTGCACTGTGATTGGTGCGTGCTTCAGTGTGCACTGTGATTGGTGCGTGCTTCAGTGTGCACTGTGATTGGCGCGTGCTTCAGTGTGCACTGTGATTGGTGCGTGCTTCAGTGTGCACTGTGATTGGTTCAGGCTTCAGTGGGCACTGTGATTGGTTCGGGCTTCAGTGTGAACTGTGATTGGTTCGGGCTTCAGTGTGAACTGTGATTGGTTCGGGCTTCAGTGTGAACTGTGATTGGTTCGGGCTTCAGTGTGAACTGTGATTGGTTCGGGCTTCAGTGTGAACTGTGATTGGTTCGGGCTTCAGTGTGAACTGTGATTGGTTCGGGCTTCAGTGTGAACTGTGATTGGTTCGGGCTTCAGTGTGAACTGTGATTGGTTCGGGCTTCAGTGTGAACTGTGGTTCAGGCTTCAGTGTGAACTGTGGTTCAGGCTTCAGTGTGAACTGGTTCAGGCTTCAGTGTGAACAGGTTCAGGCTTCAGTGTGAACTGTGGTTCAGGCTTCAGTGTGAACTGTGATTCAGGCTTCAGTGTGAACTGGTTCAGGCTTCAGTGTGAACTGTGGTTCAGGCTTCAGTGTGAACTGTGATTCAGGCTTCAGTGTGAACTGGTTCAGGCTTCAGTGTGAACTGTGGTTCAGGCTTCAGTGTGAACTGGTTCAGGCTTCAGTGTGAACTGTGGTTCAGGCTTCAGTGTGAACTGTGATTCAGGCTTCAGTGTGAACTGTGGTTCAGGCTTCAGTGTGAACTGGTTCAGGCTTCAGTGTGAACTGTGATTGGTGCCTGTTTCAGTGTGCACTGTGATTGGTGCCTGCTTCAGTGTGCACTGTGATTGGTGCCTGCTTCAGTGTGCACTGTGATTGGTTGACGGATTTTCACCTTGTTTCTCATCAAAGGTTTTGTATCGAGTGTTTTCTCCTCCACACACACACAGCGCATCTTTCTCTTCTCTCTCTACACATTTTAAAGCTTGACATTTTCTGGTCTCGTGTGACTACCAGAACTGTGGGTTGCAGGTCACAGCCGTGACAGCTTTTTCTACGTCCGCTTAAAAAAAGTTCCCGTGATACAGTCCTTTTAGTTGCTTGCCTCCTGTAAAGGAATCTCTTAGTACAGTGTCTTCAGCCATGCAACACTTTCCCTCTTCCTTGGAACTTTTCCCGGGCCATTACCCGTTATTCCCGGGTGTATACCCGCCAAACACACACCGAAATTACGACGTTGGTACAACGTTCGAACAAGTTTTAACACCACCTAACCAGTTATAACAACCAATATATCAAGTTGTAACAACGTTCCAATACGTCATAAACACATTAAGCCAAGATGTAACAACTTTATTACAAGTTGTTACAAGCGGAAAATAGAGACAGTTTCGGTTTGTGTTTCCAGGGTATGGCTTTGGAGATCACACCTGTCAATTTAGTCTCTACGACTGCTATCGCATCAGCGTTCGTGCTGCAGTTCCTTCTATGAGTTTGTTTACTTTATTTGACATTCCATCAGCATTGGTGTACAGATTTTTAGACTCTTATTGAGTCCTCTGCGTAAGGTGTTTACAAGTGCGCCATGTTAAACACGACACAGAGGGCGCACAGCACACAACTTGCACGGAAGAGCACTTGCCGTCCAGGCCTGCTAGTGTGGGAAGACCAATACACATTGTGATGGTGGTGGGGGAGAGTGGTGGTGGGGAGAGAGTGGTGGTGGTGGTGGTGGAGTGTGAGGCGAGGCAGGCAGGGCTCTTGGATCATAACGTATTGTTGGGTATCACACCTGTTATTACTATTGCTTCTCCTCTGGCAGCGGGAATATGGCAGATATCCTCGCTGTTTTGTGTGTGGGGGGGGTGGGTGTGTGTGGGTGTGTGTGGGGGTGGGTGGGTGTGTGTGTGTGTGTGTGTGTGTGTGTGTGTGTGTGCTTGCTTGGTCCCTTTATTTGTTTTTAGTGTATTCAGATAGACAATTGTTCCCCCAATCTGGACGTCTTTGATGTCCTTGTTATAATATATTTCAAAGAAGAAGAAAATTTGCGAACCTTATCGGAGCAATATGTTGTTCCTCGATGTGTCTGTCCCATCGCGTCTATTTTGTTTTATCTCCGTCCAGTTGTCGTTATCGTTTGCATATCTGTCTGTCTGTCTCCAAGTTTTCTGTCTCGTATTTCCCACTTTCTACTGGTGCTTTTCCCCCACTGCGTATGTAATATGGCTTGAGTCTTTTACCATATGAACAAATCCACAAGGGCCGTGACGAGGATTCGAACCTGCGTCCGAGAGCATCCGAGACGCTGCCTTAATCGACTGAGCTAATGCATCATTTGATTCATCACGCAATTGTGATTTCTGTGTGTAATTTTACCATATGTTTGCTTGTTCGTGGAGTTTGCTTCGTCTGTTCGTCTGTTCATCTGTTCATCTGTTCATCTGTTCATCTGTTCGACCCACTTGTGAAAGTTTGTTGTCGAAATCAAACCATTGGTGCTGAGCACTCTTCACTCTGATGATTAAACCACAATTTCCAAAAAGAAACTTGTTCCAGCTTGAACTGCAATCAGTGATTGGGTCAACTCCAGTGCCTTGTGAGTGTACCTCCGGTGATTGGACCCATTCTTCTGAGTGTTGAGAACAATCTCCCAGAGAGCAAAGACTTGTATCGATGTTTGTAGATGAATTGAAGAGGGTAAAGGCGTTGAGCGACCGCAAGCTGAAGGAACACTCGGGTAAACCGAGATAATGGTATGACAAGTGGTTCGTAGAGTTCAACTGTTGGCAAATCCAACGTGATGAAGATAGGTGGTCGGAACAGGAGGCTGGACACAAGGTACCATCTAGCAGAGGAACGCTCTGGAGTTGAACAGAGATAACCACGACTTGGCAGGCTCTGCACCTCTCTTACAGCATGTGAGACACAAGCAAACCAAACAGCGTCAGCAGCATATGCAACGCTGACAAAAATGACTGACTTAAAACCCCAGAGCACGGTGTCCACTCAGAATATTATATACTAAATATCTTAAGCCAATATTGAGATATGCTTCACGGGCTTGGCTCCCTTATTTCCTCATTCAACCCGTTCTCGCACTTTCTTTAAGTCAATATTGACTTATTAAATACGTGTATATGTGACATACTAATTTATTGTGAATATTTTAGTTTTCCTTGAAAAGCTTCATAGAAAACGCCGACCTTACCTAATCTTCTTAGTAAGTTAAGATAAGCATCTTATTGCCTCGTAATTACAATTATTACTTAACCTATACCTATAATTGGTATAGGTATAGGTTAAGGATTTACTGGGCGCAATTCCTTAACTGTAGCCTCTGTTTAACGCAACAGTAAAATGTGTACTTGGATGAAAAAAAGATTCTTCGCGGCAGGGGATCGTATTCCAGGGACCGTAAGATTAAGGACTTGCCCGAAACGCTACGCGTACTAGTGGCTGTACAAGAATGTAACAACTCTTGTATATATCTCAAAAAAAAAAAAAAAAAAAAAAAAAAAAAAAAGTAATAATTGTAATTACGAAGCAATAAGATGCTTATTTTAACATACTAAGAAGGTTAGGTAAGGTCGGTGTTTTCTATGAAGCTTTTCAAGGAAAACTAAAATATTCACAATAAATTAGTATGTCAGATATGCACTTATTAAATAAGTCAATATTGACTGTAAGAAAGTGCGAGAACGGGTTGGGGAAGCACACGAACACAGGGTACCATGGGGGAGACAGGAACGAATGGTCGTGTGGGGGAAGGGACAAGGATGGATAGTCATGTGGGGCGAGAAGAGACACGAACTATGAGTCGTACTAGAGCGTACACGAACGTGGTGTCATATGGGAGGGAACACGAACGCAGGGCACCATATGGGAGGGAACACGAACGCAGGGCACCATATGGGAGGGAACACGAACGCAGGGCACCATATGGGAGGGAACACGAACGCAGGGCACCATATGGGAGGGAACACGAACGCAGGGCACCATATGGGAGGGAACACGAACGCAGGGCACCATATGGGAGGGAACACGAACGCAGGGCACCATATGGGAGGGAACACGAACGCACACCATATGGGAGGGAACACGAACGCAGGGCACCATATGGGAGGGAACACGAACGCAGGGCACCATATGGGAGGGAACACGAACGCAGGGCACCATATGGGAGGGAACACGAACGCAGGGCACCATATGGGAGCGTACACGAACGCAGGGCACCATATGGGAGGGAACACGAACGCAGGGCACCATATGGGAGCGTACACGAACGCAGGGCACCATATGGGAGGGAACACGAACGCAGGGCACCATATGGGAGGGCACACGAACGCAGGGCATCATATGGGAGGGAACACGAACGCAGGGCACCATATGGGAGGGAACACGAACGCAGGGCACCATATGGGAGGGAACACGAACGCAGGGCACCATATGGGAGCGTACACGAACGCAGGGCACCATATGGGAGGGAACACGAACGCAGGGCACCATATGGGAGCGTACACGAACGCAGGGCACCATATGGGAGGGAACACGAACGCAGGGCACCATATGGGAGCGTACACGAACGCAGGGCACCATATGGGAGGGAACACGAACGCAGGGCACCATATGGGAGCGTACACGAACGCAGGGCACCATATGGGAGGGAACACGAACGCAGGGCACCATATGGGAGCGTACACGAACGCAGGGCACCATATGGGAGGGAACACGAACGCAGGGCACCATATGGGAGCGTACACGAACGCAGGGCACCATATGGGAGCGTACACGAACGCAGGGCACCATATGGGAGCGTACACGAACGCAGGGCACCATATGGGAGGGAACACGAACGCAGGGCACCATATGGGAGGGAACACGAACGCAGGGCACCATATGGGAGGGAACACGAACGCAGGGCACCATATGGGAGCGTACACGAACGCAGGGCACCATATGGGAGCGTACACGAACGCAGGGCACCATATGGGAGCGTACACGAACGCAGGGCACCATATGGGAGGGAACACGAACGCAGGGCACCATATGGGAGGGAACACGAACGCAGGGCACCATATGGGAGGGAACACGAACGCAGGGCACCATATGGGAGCGTACACGAACGCAGGGCACCATATGGGAGCGTACACGAACACAGGGCACCATATGGGAGCGTACACGAACGCAGGGCACCATATGGGAGGGAACACGAACGCAGGGCACCATATGGGAGGGAACACGAACGCAGGGCACCATATGGGAGGGAACACGAACGCAGGGCACCATATGGGAGCGTACACGAACGCAGGGCACCATATGGGAGCGTACACGAACGCAGGGCACCATATGGGAGCGTACACGAACGCAGGGCACCATATGGGAGGGAACACGAACGCAGGGCACCATATGGGAGCGTACACGAACGCAGGGCACCATATGGGAGGGAACACGAACGCAGGGCACCATATGGGAGCGTACACGAACGCAGGGCACCATATGGGAGCGTACACGAACGCAGGGCACCATATGGGAGGGAACACGAACGCAGGGCACCATATGGGAGGGAACACGAACGCAGGGCACCATATGGGAGGGAACACGAACGCAGGGCACCATATGGGAGGGAACACGAACGCAGGGCACCATATGGGAGGGAACACGAACGCAGGGCACCATATGGGAGGGAACACGAACACAGGGCACCATATGGGAGGGAACACGAACGCAGGGCACCATATGGGAGGGAACACGAACGCAGGGCACCATATGGGAGGGAACACGAACGCAGGGCACCATATGGGAGGGAACACGAACACAGGGCACCATATGGGAGGGAACACGAACGCAGGGCACCATATGGGAGGGAACACGAACGCAGGGCACCATATGGGAGGGAACACGAACGCACGAGTCTGGAACACTAACGAAAGGTACCGCAGGTGAACAATTACGAATAAACGTCACGTATAAGATAAAAATCTATAGTTTAGAAACCTCCATTTGTTTTACGGCGATTAAAAAAAAGAAGTTCGAAGCCCTTTATTAATCGTTAGCAAAAGTATTCGTCATGAAGTGTTCCACAGCACCACACACTGTGGTCTGTGTAGCACTCTCTTGACCTCCTAGATGTGTAGGTGGAACTAGAGGACTATGGCCAGATGGAGGTCTTCTATTATGGCCAGGTGGAGGTCAGCCATTAAGGTCCAGGTGGAGGTCTTCTATTATGGCCAGGTGGAGGTCAGCCATTAAGGCCAGATGGAGGTCTTCCATTATGGCCAGATGGAGGTCTTCTATTATGGCCAGGTGGAGGTCTTCCATTATGGCCAGGTGGAGGTCTTCCATTAAGGTCCAGGTGGAGGTCTTCTATTATGGCCAGGTGGAGGTCTGCCATTATGGCCAGATGGAGGTCTTCTATTATGGCCAGGTGGAGGTCTTCCATTATGGCCAGGTGGAGGTCTTCCATTAAGGTCCAGGTGGAGGTCTTCTATTATGGCCAGGTGGAGGTCAGCCATTAAGGCCAGGTGGAGGTCTTCCATTATGGCCAGGTGGAGGTCTGCCATTAAGGTCCAGGTGGAGGTCTTCCATTATGGCCAGGTGGAGGTCTTCCATTATGGCCAGGTGGAGGTCTTCCATTAAGGTCCAGGTGGAGGTCTTCTATTATGGCCAGGTGGAGGTCTTCCATTAAGGTCCAGGTGGAGGTCTGCCATTAAGGCCAGGTGGAGGTCAGCCATTAAGGCCAGGTGGAGGTCTTCCATTATGGCCAGGTGGAGGTCTGCCATTAAGGTCCAGGTGGAGGTCAGCCATTATGGCCAGGTGGAGGTCTTCCATTAAGGTCCAGGTGGAGGTCTGCCATTATGGCCAGGTGGAGGTCTTCCATTAAGGTCCAGGTGGAGGTCTTCCATTATGGCCAGGTGGAGGTCTTCTATTATGGCCAGGTGGAGGTCAGCCATTAAGGCCAGGTGGAGGTCTTCCATTATGGCCAGGTGGAGGTCTTCCATTAAGGTCCAGGTGGAGGTCTTCCATTATGGCCAGGTGGAGGTCTGCCATTAAGGTCCAGGTGGAGGTCTTCCATTATGGCCAGGTGGAGGTCTTCCATTATGGCCAGGTGGAGGTCTGCCATTATGGCCAGGTGGAGGTCTTCCATTATGGCCAGGTGGAGGTCTTCCATTAAGGTCCAGGTGGAGGTCTTCCATTAAGGTCCAGGTGGAGGTCTGCCATTATGGCCAGGTGGAGGTCTGCCATTATGGCCAGGTGGAGGTCTTCCATTATGGCCAGGTGGAGGTCTTCCATTAAGGTCCAGGTGGAGGTCTGCCATTAAGGTCCAGGTGGAGGTCTTCCATTAAGGTCCAGGTGGAGGTCTTCCATTATGGCCAGGTGGAGGTCTTCCATTATGGCCAGGTGGAGGTCTTCCATTATGGCCAGGTGGAGGTCTTCCATTAAGGTCCAGGTGGAGGTCTTCCATTATGGCCAGGTGGAGGTCTGCCATTAAGGTCCAGGTGGAGGTCTTCCATTATGGCCAGGTGGAGGTCTTCTATTATGGCCAGGTGGAGGTCTTCCATTAAGGTCCAGGTGGAGGTCAGCCATTAAGGCCAGGTGGAGGTCTGCCATTAAGGTCCAGGTGGAGGTCTGCCATTAAGGTCCAGGTGGAGGTCTGCCATTAAGGTCCAGGTGGAGGTCTGCCATTAAGGTCCAGGTGGAGGTCTGCCATTATGGCCAGGTGGAGGTCTGCCATTAAGGTCCAGGTGGAGGTCTTCCATTAAGGTCCAGGTGGAGGTCTGCCATTATGGCCAGGTGGAGGTCAGCCATTATGGCCAGGTGGAGGTCTTCCATTAAGGTCCAGGAGGAGGTCTTCCATTATGGCCAGGTGGAGGTCTGCCATTAAGGTCCAGGTGGAGGTCTTCTATTATGGCCAGGTGGAGGTCTGCCATTAAGGTCCAGGTGGAGGTCTTCCATTATGGCCAGGTGGAGGTCTTCCATTATGGCCAGGTGGAGGTCTTCCATTAAGGTCCAGGTGGAGGTCTGCCATTAAGGTCCAGGTGGAGGTCTGCCATTAAGGTCCAGGTGGAGGTCTGCCATTATGGCCAGGTGGAGGTCTTCCATTAAGGTCCAGGTGGAGGTCTGCCATTATGGCCAGGTGGAGGTCTTCCATTAAGGTCCAGGTGGAGGTCTTCCATTAAGGTCCAGGTGGAGGTCTTCCATTAAGGTCCAGGTGGAGGTCTTCCATTAAGGTCCAGGTGGAGGTCTGCCATTATGGCCAGGTGGAGGTCAGCCATTATGGCCAGGTGGAGGTCTTCCATTAAGGTCCAGGTGGAGGTCTGCCATTATGGCCAGGTGGAGGTCTTCCATTAAGGTCCAGGTGGAGGTCTGCCATTATGGCCATGTGGAGGTCTTCCATTATGGCCATGTGGAGGTCTTCCATTATGGCCAGGTGGAGGTCTTCCATTAAGGTCCAGGTGGAGGTCTGCCATTATGGCCAGGTGGAGGTCAGCCATTATGGCCAGGTGGAGGTCTTCCATTAAGGTCCAGGTGGAGGTCTGCCATTATGGCCAGGTGGAGGTCTTCCATTAAGGTCCAGGTGGAGGTCTGCCATTATGGCCATGTGGAGGTCTTCCATTATGGCCATGTGGAGGTCTTCCATTATGGCCAGGTGGAGGTCTTCCATTAAGGTCCAGGTGGAGGTCTGCCATTATGGCCAGGTGGAGGTCAGCCATTATGGCCAGGTGGAGGTCTTCCATTAAGGTCCAGGTGGAGGTCTGCCATTATGGCCAGGTGGAGGTCTTCCATTAAGGTCCAGGTGGAGGTCTGCCATTATGGCCATGTGGAGGTCTTCCATTATGGCCATGTGGAGGTCTTCCATTATGGCCAGGTGGAGGTCTTCCATTAAGGTCCAGGTGGAGGTCTGCCATTATGGCCAGGTGGAGGTCAGCCATTATGGCCAGGTGGAGGTCTTCCATTAAGGTCCAGGTGGAGGTCTGCCATTATGGCCAGGTGGAGGTCTTCCATTAAGGTCCAGGTGGAGGTCTGCCATTATGGCCATGTGGAGGTCTTCCATTATGGCCAGGTGGAGGTCTTCCATTATGGCCAGGTGGAGGTCTTCCATTAAGGTCCAGGTGGAGGTCTGCCATTAAGGTCCAGGTGGAGGTCTTCCATTATGGCCATGTGAAGGTCTTCCATTATGGCCAGGTGGAGGTCTTCCATTAAGGTCCAGGTGGAGGTCTTCCATTAAGGTCCAGGTGGAGGTCTGCCATTATGGCCAGGTGGAGGTCTTCCATTATGGCCAGGTGGAGGTCTTCCATTATGGCCAGGTGGAGGTCTTCCATTAAGGTCCAGGTGGAGGTCTTCCATTATGGCCATGTGGAGGTCTTCCATTATGGCCAGGTGGAGGTCTGCCATTAAGGTCCAGGTGGAGGTCTTCCATTATGGCCAGGTGGAGGTCTTCCATTAAGGTCCAGGTGGAGGTCTTCCATTATGGCCAGGTGGAGGTCTGCCATTAAGGTCCAGGTGGAGGTCTGCCATTATGGCCAGGTGGAGGTCAGCCATTATGGCCAGGTGGAGGTCTTCCATTAAGGTCCAGGTGGAGGTCTTCCATTATGGCCAGGTGGAGGTCTGCCATTATGGCCAGGTGGAGGTCTGCCATTAAGGTCCAGGTGGAGGTCTTTCATTATGGCCAGGTGGAGGTCTTCCATTATGGCCAGGTGGAGGTCTGCCATTATGGCCAGGTGGAGGTCTTCCATTATGGCCAGGTGGAGGTCTTCCATTAAGGTCCAGGTGGAGGTCTGCCATTATGGCCAGGTGGAGGTCTTCCATTAAGGTCCAGGTGGAGGTCAGCCATTATGGCCATGTGGAGGTCTTCCATTATGGCCAGGTGGAGGTCTTCCATTATGGCCAGGTGGAGGTCAGCCATTATGGCCATGTGGAGGTCTTCCATTATGGCCAGGTGGAGGTCTTCCATTATGGCCAGGTGGAGGTCTTCCATTATGGCCAGGTGGAGGTCTTCCATTATGGCCAGGTGGAGGTCTTCCATTATGGCCAGGTGGAGGTCTTCCATTAAGGTCCAGGTGGAGGTCTTCCATTATGGCCAGGTGGAGGTCTTCCATTATGGCCAGGTGGAGGTCTTCCATTATGGCCAGGTGGAGGTCTTCCATTATGGCCAGGTGGAGGTCTTCCATTATGGCCATGTGGAGGTCTTCCATTATGGCCAGGTGGAGGTCTTCCATTATGGCCAGGTGGAGGTCTTCCATTATGGCCAGGTGGAGGTCTTCCATTAAGGTCCAGGTGGAGGTCTTCCATTATGGCCAGGTGGAGGTCTTCCATTATGGCCAGGTGGAGGTCTTCCATTAAAGTCCAGGTGGAGGTCTTCCATTATGGCCAGGTGGAGGTCTTCCATTATGGCCAGGTGGAGGTCTTCCATTATGGCCAGGTGGAGGTCTGCCATTAAGGCCGGTTGAAGACCTTCCATTAAGTGTCTGCCACAATAGGATTTTCTACAAGCTGGAGCCCACAGGAAAGGTAACCTTACCTGGCGATGATTTCGGGGCTCAACGTCCCCGCGGCCCGGTCCTTGACCAGGCTTCCTGGTCCCTTTATACCAGGTTAGTGACAGGATACTAAACCGGTGACAAGTTTCATACACGTAAAACTTGGAACAGTGATGAGACACAGTGATTTAGATTGGAGGATTGTAACGAGTGGAGTCCCGCAAGGCTCTTTACTAGCGCCAGTAATGCCCATTATTTATAGACAGTAATGCCCATTATTTATAGACAGTAATGCCCATTATTTATATAAATGATCTAACGGACCCAAAGGAACTTAGGAGTTGAGGAAACAGCTGAAGGCCTCATGGCCCATACGTGGCAAAATCCATACATATCCACCCAAACTCATTCATGTATACGTATAACATATGTTTGAAACAATCAAATTGATCCCAGTTGTATTATGTTATCCGCTAATCGTTACACAAATCAACAACCCTGTTATCACACCAGTATTTACCCAGGTCCTAATTATTCTTTTCTTTATTCCTTACCATTATTCTCTTCTCTCTCTCTCTAGTCCCTAACATTCTTCTTCTTCTCTTTCACCCAACCTATTTTATCCTCTCCCTCGTCTTTTCTATCCGTCTTCCTTTTTCTCTCCAGTTCTCCCTCTCTCTCTCTCTCTCTCTCTCTCTCCCTCTCTCTCTCTCTCTCTCTCTCTCTCTCTCTCTCTCTCTCTCTCTCTCTCTCTCTCTCTCTCTCTCTCTCTCTCTCTCTCTCTCTCCCCCCCCCTCCGCTGCTCCCTCTCTCCCTCTCCCCCCCCTCCGCTGCTCCCTCTCTCCCTCTCCCCCCCCTCCGCTGCTCCCCCTCACTTCACCAGGGGTCGCGAGTCTCACCTCTGATGGTTCTTTGTAATCTTTATTTCACTCCATTGAGTGAATTTATTGATGATCGAGCGTGTGTAGGTAACCACCTCTCACCTGTTCCGTGCCGCTGGTGCTCCTCTGGCAGTGTTCCGTGCCGCTGGTGCTCCTCTGGCAGTGTTCCGTGCCGCTGGTGCTCCTCTGGCAGTGTTCCGTGCCGCTGGTGCTCCTCTGGGAGTGTTCCGTGCCGCTGGTGCTCCTCTGGCAGTGTTCCGTGCCACTGGTGCCCCTCTGGCAGTGTTCCGTGCCGCTGGTGCTCCTCTGGCAGTGTTCCGTGCCACTGGTGCCCCTCTGGCAGTGTTCCGTGCCGCTGGTGCTCCTCTGGGAGTGTTCCGTGCCGCTGGTGCTCCTCTGGGAGAGTTCCGTGCCGCTGGTGCTCCTCTGGGAGAGTTCCGTGCCGCTGGTGCTCCTCTGGGAGAGTTCCGTGCCTCTGGTGCTCCTCTGGGAGAGTTCCGTGCCGCTGGTGCTCCTCTGGGAGAGTTCCGTGCCGCTGGTGCTCCTCTGAGAGAGTTCCGTGCCGCTGGTGCTCCTCTGGGAGAGTTCCGTGCCACTGGTGCTCCTCTGGCAGTGTTCCGTGCCACTGGTGCTCCTCTGGCAGTGTTCCGTGCCGCTGGTGCTCCTCTGGGAGTGTTCCGTGCCGCTGGTGCTCCTCTGGGAGTGTTCCGTGCCGCTGGTGCTCCTCTGGCAGTGTTCCGTGCCGCTGGTGCTCCTCTGGCAGTGTTCCGTGCCACTGGTGCTCCTCTGGCAGTGTTCCGTGCCACTGGTGCTCCTCTGGCAGTGTTCCGTGCCACTGGTGCTCCTCTGGCAGTGTTCCGTGCCGCTGGTGCTCCTCTGGCAGTGTTCCGTGCCGCTGGTGCTCCTCTGGCAGTGCTCCGTGCCGCTGGTGCTCCTCTGGCAGTGTTCCGTGCCGCTGGTGCTCCTCTGGGAGTGTTCCGTGCCACTGGTGCTCCTCTGGCAGTGTTCCGTGCCACTGGTGCTCCTCTGGGAGTGTTCCGTGCCACTGGTGCTCCTCTGGCAGTGTTCCGTGCCACTGGTGCTCCTCTGGCAGTGTTCCGTGCCGCTGGTGCTCCTCTGGCAGTGTTCTGTGCCGCTGGTGCTCCTCTGGCAGTGTTCCGTGCCACTGGTGCCCCTCTGGCAGTGTTCCGTGCCGCTGGTGCTCCTCTGGGAGTGTTCCGTGCCGCTGGTGCTCCTCTGGGAGAGTTCCGTGCCGCTGGTGCTCCTCTGGGAGAGTTCCGTGCCGCTGGTGCTCCTCTGGGAGAGTTCCGTGCCGCTGGTGCTCCTCTGGGAGAGTTCCGTGCCGCTGGTGCTCCTCTGGGAGAGTTCCGTGCCGCTGGTGCTCCTCTGAGAGAGTTCCGTGCCGCTGGTGCTCCTCTGGGAGAGTTCCGTGCCACTGGTGCTCCTCTGGCAGTGTTCCGTGCCACTGGTGCTCCTCTGGCAGTGTTCCATGCCGCTGGTGCTCCTCTGGGAGTGTTCCGTGCCGCTGGTGCTCCTCTGGGAGTGTTCCGTGCCGCTGGTGCTCCTCTGGCAGTGTTCCGTGCCGCTGGTGCTCCTCTGGCAGTGTTCCGTGCCACTGGTGCTCCTCTGGCAGTGTTCCGTGCCACTGGTGCTCCTCTGGCAGTGTTCCGTGCCACTGGTGCTCCTCTGGCAGTGTTCCGTGCCACTGGTGCTCCTCTGGCAGTGTTCCGTGCCGCTGGTGCTCCTCTGGCAGTGTTCCGTGCCGCTGGTGCTCCTCTGGCAGTGCTCCGTGCCGCTGGTGCTCCTCTGGCAGTGTTCCGTGCCGCTGGTGCTCCTCTGGGAGTGTTCCGTGCCACTGGTGCTCCTCTGGCAGTGTTCCGTGCCACTGGTGCTCCTCTGGGAGTGTTCCGTGCCACTGGTGCTCCTCTGGCAGTGTTCCGTGCCGCTGGTGCTCCTCTGGCAGTGTTCCGTGCCGCTGGTGCTCCTCTGGGAGTGTTCCGTGCCGCTGGTGCTCCTCTGGCAGTGTTCCGTGCCACTGGTGCCCCTCTGGCAGTGTTCCGTGCCGCTGGTGCCCCTCTGGCAGTGTTCCGTGCCACTGGTGCCCCTCTGGCAGTGTTCCGTGCCGCTGGTGCTCCTCTGGGAGTGTTCCGTGCCGCTGGTGCTCCTCTGGGAGAGTTCCGTGCCGCTGGTGCTCCTCTGGGAGAGTTCCGTGCCGCTGGTGCTCCTCTGGGAGAGTTCCGTGCCGCTGGTGCTCCTCTGGGAGAGTTCCGTGCCGCTGGTGCTCCTCTGGGAGAGTTCCGTGCCGCTGGTGCTCCTCTGAGAGAGTTCCGTGCCGCTGGTGCTCCTCTGGGAGAGTTCCGTGCCACTGGTGCTCCTCTGGCAGTGTTCCGTGCCACTGGTGCTCCTCTGGCAGTGTTCCGTGCCGCTGGTGCTCCTCTGGCAGTGTTCCGTGCCGCTGGTGCTCCTCTGGGAGTGTTCCGTGCCACTGGTGCTCCTCTGGCAGTGTTCCGTGCCACTGGTGCTCCTCTGGGAGTGTTCCGTGCCACTGGTGCTCCTCTGGCAGTGTTCCGTGCCACTGGTGCTCCTCTGGCAGTGTTCCGTGCCGCTGGTGCTCCTCTGGCAGTGTTCTGTGCCGCTGGTGCTCCTCTGGCAGTGTTCCGTGCCACTGGTGCTCCTCTGGCAGTGTTCCGTGCCACTGGTGCCCCTCTGGCAGTGTTCCGTGCCACTGGTGCTCCTGCATTGAATTGGTGATTGGAGTCTAACTCTTGAGAGATTCATTGCTGGCTCTCCAGGTGGCACTTCTTGTGTGGAGTGGCCCGTGGCGGTGTGTGTAGCGGAGACACCACTGCCATCACAAGCAGGTTCGAACCCCGCTACTGCGTTTTGTGTGATAGTATGAATTCTTTGAGATGTATGTGCATATATACCTGGTCGACGACCGGGCCGCGGGGACGCTAAGCCCCGGAAGCACCTCAAGGTATATATTATTATTATTAGGGGAAACACATACCCGGCGAAGCCCGTGTTTCCTATCTGTCCATCCATTTCCTCATCTTTTCCATCCTTTTCTCTCTCTCTCCTACCCTCTTCCCTCCTTCTCTCCCATCTTCTCTACCTTTCTCTCCTCCCCCCCCCCCTCTCTGTCAGAAAATATAACATTACGAAGCAATAAAAAAACAGCTAAAATCTCGACCTGAAACACTTTCATGATTATAGACTTATGAAGATTGCAGGGGGGTCGCAAGAGATGCCGATATATCTAAGTGTGGCACTGGGGCCGACCCCCGACTGATCGACATAACCCACATGTGTCGATTTAGAAAGTTGGATGTGATCTGAAATTAGCAGGCCAGACACCCTAAGTGTCTGGCCTCGTGATTTTGACAGTCACAAGTATTTATCAATATAACACAATGTGTGTGTGCGTGCGTGTTGTGTATGTGTGCGTGCGTGTGCCTGGACCCAGGGCGGGCCGACAGGACCAGTAATCAATACCACGCCCTTCGCAGAGCCGGTGCATACCTACCTGTGTTCTGAAACACCCAGCTCCACTTTACGCTACATCAGAGAGAGGAAGTTATCTTGAGGTTATCTTGAGATGATTTCGGGGCTTTTTAGTGTCCCCGCGGCCCGGTCCTCGACCAGGCCTCCACCCCCAGGAAGCAGCCCGTGACAGCTGACTAACTCCCAGGTACCTATTTACTGCTAGGTAACAGGGGCATTCAGGGTGAAAGAAACTTTGCCCATTTGTTTCTGCCTCGTGCGGGAATCGAACCCGCGCCACAGAATTACGAGTCCTGCGCGCTATCCACCAGGCTACGAGGCCCCTTCCTACGAGGAAGAGGGAGAGGGGAGAGAGGGAAAGGGAGAGGGGATTACTGCAACAACCGGACCATCACGACCTATAACATAACCGGTTGACTATCACAGAGTCAAGGGCCTAAATCCCAACATTATTGGGATTTATCACCATGTGTCTCACTTAGCGGACAGTAGTAACTAGAGTTGTTAGTTCAACTGCCTGCATGGTCTGAGCGACCAGCCTCTTCTATAGAACGACCGCCTGCCTGTCGAAGGTGGCCCACCTGTCTCAGGCGGCCACCTGTCTCCGGCGGCCACCTGTCTCCGGCGGCCACCTGTCTCAGGCGGACACCTGTCTCAGGCGGACACCTGTCTCAGGCGGACACCTGTCTCATGCGGCCACCTGTCTCAGGCGGCCACCTGTCTCAGGCGGCCACCTGTCTCAGGCGGCCACCTGTCTCATGCGGCCACCTGTCTCAGGCGGCCACTCGCGTTCAGAGAAAGATCCCAAAATCCCTATTAAACCCCCAATCTGACTAGGTCATAATGTTAATATTGGTAAATAACATTAATATTGGGCAATCATATTGACCAGTGATGATATCAATGCCACTGATCATGATATCAATCCTACTAATCATTAATATCAACATTATATAAAGGCAGATAGCATATTTGTCATCTTTTAAGGTTTGGATTCGATATTCGACGTGTTTAAGGTCTTGTTCAACCCATCCTCCTGATTAGATAGTAGCGTTTGTTAGTATGTGTACCATAGTACAAACCTAAGCAGTTAGATAGTAGAACTTTGTACTGTTCACTTTATACGAGTCGGAACAAAAAATTAAGCTAAAAAAAAAAAACTTAAATATTCTTAGGCCTATTATAGCACATATATGTACTATATTAAGCCTCGGATAGCGTGTATTAGGCTTAGGAAGGTTAGGGTAGTTTAAGTTGCCTTTGCAACTCAAGTAGAAAATAGTTTTCCTGTTTGTCTATCTTCAATAGTACCGATTTCTACTTTCTAATTTCGTTGTAAGTCGGTATATGTACCATGGTCCTCATCCTTACTATAAGTACTACCAAAATAGGAGGATGTACTCTCTCTCTCGTTATGTAGAGACTATTAATAGAAGTTTACTTGAAGTTTACTTGAGGTTTACTTGAAGTTTACTTGAAGTTTACTTGAGGTTTACTTGAAGTTTACTTGAGGTTTACTTGAAGTTTACTTGAAGTTTACTTGAGGTTTACTTGAGGTTTACTTGAAGTTTACTTGAAGGTACTTGAAGGTCTACAGTTACTGACACACGTGTTCACCCTCCCCCCCCCCCCACACCTCACAACGGTTCCTGAACATTCTGAGAACTTCGATGGTCTTTAATATACCAATTCTCTCCCCCTTCTCCACCCTCTCATCCTCTTGTCCTATTTCTATTTTCCTATTTTATTCTAGGATTCCTTTTGCAGTGAGCCGACATTTTATTCAGGGGGATTCCATATCCTCAGAGGGAAGGGAGTTAGTGAAATGTGAGAGAGGAAGGGAAGGGGAGAGGAAGGGAAGGGGAGAGGAAGGGAAGGGGAGAGGAAGGGAAGGGGAGAGGAAGGGAAGGGGAGAGGAAGGGAAGGGGAAGGGAAAGGGATGGGGAGAGAGACGTGGAAAAAGAGGGAAATGTGAAAAGGAAAGAAGGGTGGAGAAAAAGTAATGAAGCTGAGGTCGGGAAGAATAATGGAATGAGAAACTTGTTCACGTGAGGGTTCGAAGCCTGGCCCAGGTAGGGGGGGATGGAAGCCTGGCCCAGGTAGAGGGGACGGAAGCCTGGCCCAGGTAGGGAGGACCGAAGCCTGGCCCAGGTAGGGAGGACGGAAGCCTGGCCCAGGTAGGGAGGACGGAAGCCTGGCCCAGGTAGGGAGGACGGAAGCCTGGCCCAGGTAGAGGGGACGGAAACCTGGCCCAGGTAGAGGGGATGGAGGAGCCCTCAGGAACGGCAGGAAGGGGGGGGGGGTATTTCATGAACAATATTTTACCGTAGCGGAGATGTTTGTGTGTAATATGTATGCGCCGGCGGTGCCCGGGCGCCATGTAAGTGATAAGGCAAGTGGAAAAAGGTAAAAATATTTTTCTCGTACTGAAGCAGTTTGAGAAAAAGCGAGAGAGCTAGCCAGCCAGCCAGCCAGTTAGCCAGTCAGCCAGCTGGCCAGTCAGCCAGCTGGCCAGTCAGCCACTCGGCTAAGTCAATCAGCCACTCAAGAGCCAGCCAGCCATTTAGCTTGCCCGCTACTCAGCCACTCATCTTGCACGCCACTCAGCCAACCAGTCGGTCAGTCACTCAGCCAACCAGTCGGTCAGTCACTCAGCCAGCCACACTGAGAGTGCAAGCAGGCGCCAGAGCTTTACATTATGAGAGTGGTGGTGTGGCGGTCGTCCACGTGTGTGTGTGTGTGTGTGTGTGTGTGTGTGTGTGTGTGTGTCTGTGTGAGACACAAAACATGCCTCATACAAGACCAAGCGACACACACACACACACACACACACACACACACACACACACACACACACACACACACACACACACACACACACACACACACACACACACACACACTCACATACACTCACATACACTCACATACACTCATAACACGAAGACTCGCCTTTCATCAAGAGATCCATGTGTCCAGATACATGAATCAACTACAACCTTCCATTGCTCTTGTTCGAATACATGCTAAACCAAACCAAACAATTGGTAGATGCGTCTAGCAAACGACGTGGAAGGCCAGTGATGAACAAAAAATATATTTGTATCGACATGTGTATAATAGTTTTCAACTGTGAGAGAGAGATTTAATTTATCAAGTTCATTTGATGGAATAATTAGTGTTGTCTAGATCATTTAATAAACATCTTCACGTGCTAACTTGACAATTTAAATCTTGAGTTTTTGATCTTGAAAAACAGAATAAAACAAATGTCACAACTTAGCGGCAGAAAACATAAACCCTCAAATATCAATATATTTGGTTGAGTTACGAGGTTGTTGTTGTTGTCCACAGACTGAAGACTGGAGGATGTCCCTATCTTACTGCAAGATCTAGACTATCCTACTTTATCTTACTGCAAGATCTAAACTATCCTCCCTTATCTTACTGCAAGATCTAAACTATCCTCCCTTATCTTACTGCAAGACCTAGACTATCCTCCCCTATCTGACTGCAAGACCTAGACTGTCCTCTCTCCTCTCATGGCCTCTTTTCTCCAGCATCTATACTATCCCCACCTATTTTCACCACAACCTCCAACACCTGCCTCCTATTCACCATCCTCTCATCCCCCCCCCCCTCACCACTCTATCCCATCCCCTGTCCATCCTAACTATCCCCCTACCCCCCCAAGTGACAGAAATGCGTCTACCCTATCCATCGTCACCACTACCATCCCCCCCCTCTCTAGTAATTCCCCTGTACCTCTCAACTACTCCCTATCTATCCCTTCCCTATCCCCACCGTGTTTAATATCCCTCCGTCGTCCCTACCCCGCCCATCAGGCAGTCCAACCGGAGAACTACCAATCAGAGGCCAGGGCTTAACAAGAGTGGTCAGACAATCCGAGCGTGAAAGCTGTATCCCAGTGTGACAAAAGAGAAAAATTCAACTTTGGACAATAACAGCAATTCCAACGCAAGTGTTCGTCCCTCCCTTTTCCCCTACCATTGTCGCTGCTGCCATGACTGATCTACCCTAGATCTACCCCGCCATCTACCCTAGATCTACCCCGCCATCTACCCCCAGATAGCGACTGCCCTACCTCATCTGAGAGTCAACGCCTTGTTCTGTCTCTAGATTCCTAGAGCATCTAGGGATGCTCTAGGGATTCCTAGAGGATGCTGATGAGATGGGATGGAAGGTTAGCCTGGATGCTGCAGGGATGGGATGAGATGAGATGGTTA